CCCAATTATCAGAGCTTCCCGAGCTAAAATCAGGTTCGCATTTATTTTAAACGTTGCTATTTTTAAATACAGTGAACTCTCGATAATGTAAACATCCAAAACAGTAAACTCTCGACAATGTGAAGTAATTACAAACAAAATTTTGGAACATTGAAGGAAAATAAGCGTGGAGGAAATAGAACTAAGTTGTTGACACCACAAGTTTTAAGTCTTATCGAGTTCTATATGGAAAGTCAACCTGGAATTACCCTCAAAGCCATAAAAACTAAACTGTTGAGAGAAAATGAAATAAATATTTCCACAAGCTGCATAGAATATGGACCTTAAATTCTTACCGCTTTATTCTCCAATGCTAAATCCAATTGAAAATGCATTTTCAAAAATAAAATTATGTGCAATAGCTGAGCTGTTCTTAAATATTTATTTATTAAAATGTCAAGAAATACCCCAGTTTGTGTTACTATTTACTTAGTTTTATGTAGTAAAGATATTAAATGAAATCACGCCGAATTAAAGAATATTTATGTTAATTACATAGCCATACAACTATATTTGTTAATATTCTTTGGTTTAGTTTTCAAATATTGGTTTAAAATTACTGCAAATAATATTTTTCCTTAGATAAGAATAAAGGTTTCATTTAATTTGGAAAAAGTTTAATTCTATTTGTAAAAGGTTTCATTTCAATTGGAAAAGGTTTCATTTAATTTGGAAAAGGTTTCATTTCAATTGGAAAAGGTTTCATTTAATTTGGAAAAGGTTTCATTTAATTTGGAAAAGGTTTCATTTAATTTGGAAAAGGGTTCATTAAATTTGTAAAAGGTTTCATTTAATGTGGAAATGCTATACATAAAGTTGGGAGATAATTATCTTCAGGAATACAAATAGGAGGTATTCTAACTAATTCAAAATATGGTGTATGATTTACGAGGACTAGGTCAAGGATTTTCTCATGATTATTTACTATATTATTTATTTGTTGGGGATTAATGTCACAAATCGCCGTCACAAATATGCCGAGGAAAACCTTAAAAATGTTTGTTCCTAAGGGCGGTATCGATAAAAATATCATAATTACAATTATTTTTTAATGATTTTAAATTCTAAAGTATTCTCCTCTATGTTCTTTACAATTACGAAAAAGAACCTTGTAAAAATATATAATTTTAATATAATTGTCTTTGTGAGATTGACATGCCCAACATTCTAACCGGTTCAACAATTTTTGAGCGCCCGAATTGCAATCAAAAATTAATTTTATTTCCAATCTAGTAGAAAGTGTTGACTTATTATATTTTCATCAAGAACTTTTCATGTAACAATTTAAATAAATATAAATTTAAATAAATGATAAAGCATCCATAAAAGTACCAATGTATCCATAGTATTTTTTATTCATTTTGAATGATTAAAAAACGCAGTAAATGAATTTAACTTTTAATAATTTCTTGACATGGTACATCTAATAATACCGAAATTCCGGAGACATACCTATATATATTGAATTACTAATGACGACCACTATGTTGGACGAAGCTAAACAAAAATAACATTCTATTATAAGCGAACGTTGTCCCAGACAATGATTATGCGTCTGATGGCTTCCTCCATCAACACTGCTGGAAGTATTATATGGGAAGTTATGCAAAAGGCATATGGATTGTTTCTATTTTTGGTTAATGGAATACATTCCTCTGTTGATTTTATTGTAAATTTAGGGTAAAGATGACTTACAGACGGAAGCTGATTGCTCGGCACAGCATTGCTGTGATGACGATGTTGTTGTATGGGTAGATCATTTGAATAATGTACGCCCCGTCGGCATGTTTATATGCTTACATCGTATTTGGTAAACAAATACAAGGTATTAAAAAATATAGATAAAATAAATTTATTATGCATTTCTTAAATAGCTAAAAGTTTTGGAATGACCTACTCTTCTAAAAAGAAAAACGACTCCATACTATTTAAAAACTTCAACAATTTATAAGTAAATTATTTCCTAATGAACTTAATTACGACTAATCCTATAAGTATTGATATTTCCAAAATGATCACCAATATCAAAATTATTTTATTATAGAGAACTTCCCGTTGAAGTTTCCGTATGATTTTGCGTGATTGTGAAAGATTGTCATCCGTGCTTTCAAGGCGACGAGAAGAACGCAGAAGTGATTCGCGTTGCTCGCCCAACTCTGAAAGAACCTAAACATAAACATTTTGTTATATGTAGAACTCTCCAATCATTGACTCCTCAAATACCTCAGTTCCAATCTGTTCGGTTTCATATGCAATTTGATTAGATCGTTGCAAGCTATCACCAGTTCGCTGGATGACGTCATATGTATTCCTTAGCAGTTGTACCTGATTATTTGCCATTTTAGCCAATCCGATTTGATCCTGCTTATTGGTCGTACTGTCGCACTATGTCCACTATGCCTTCTCAGTGACTAATAACTAATAAAAAGCGTTCCAAGAAGAAAAAATTGTCGATAAAGAAGGAATTCAAAGCCCTACTTTACATTACGAATTATGGACACGAATCATGAGAGTTTTTTTCTTTCTCATTGGTAAATCGATAGTAACTAGAGTTGATATATTTTTGATTTTGTAACAATCGTACTTTACGTTCACAAAAGGTTAAATTCGTACCTTTTGTGAATGTACCAATAAAAAAAGTAGATTTTTTTATTATTCGTAAATAAATTTATGCTTAATAACGTTATCTAAATTCCAAGGCGTACACAAATAATCAACTTCCCCTCTATTGCAAAATATTTTCCACGGCTGTATTACCCAAATACGTCGAGGGCTAAGCAGAATGCTCGCGTTGAGCCAAAAAACGCTCAACGCGAACATTCTGTTTAGCCCTTTAGTCTGCTTTTCCACAGGCAGATTTTTATTTTGCAAATTTTTTGTTTTCTCTTTTGAAATTTTCGCTTGCTTTTCCATTAGCAAATTTTTCTTTGCCAAATTTGCGAATCAAAAAACAAACAAAATAAAATGAAAGTCAAACGTGTTTGCATTTTAAAGATTTTTATATATTTTATTATATAAATTGCAAAAATTAAAAATTAAATTTCACTTGCACAAATTAAAGCAACAGGTATGTAAACAAAAGCCGGCTGTGTGTCAGTAAAGCGAATAGGTTCAAAAGGAAATATCAACAAAATAGTTTTCAACGAACAGAGCAAAGCAGAATTTGCGTGTACGGCAAATTCTGAACAGGCAAATTTTTGTTTTTCTTCCTCGCACCCCTCTCGCCTACAAACTCAGTATTTGCCAAATAAAAATTTGCCTGTGGAAAAGCAGACTAATAAAACGGAAAATAAATTCCATAAACTGTTATGTATGTCGATTGGCATATTTTCAACAAATGTAATTATTGTTCTCAAGTCGTAACTATGGGTGTTACAACTTAAATTTATAGATTTCAGAGGCAGGGAACTTCAAAATATTAATTAATCAATATAACTAATTTATTAACTTTTGCCACTGAACACGTCATGTGCGTATATTTCGAAGGAAGGTATTTTCATTTAAATTTTGAATGCTGAGTAATGTCTAAAGTAAATATATAAAAAATTGGAATCATATGTCTGCATGCGATTACCTGGTATAATTAGGCCATGCTATTTGTATTACAACTTATTTTTATTTTATTTTTGTGTAGATTCTCATTTGACTTTTAAAAGCTGAATGTTGTCAAAAGCAATGTTATTATTTTTCACTATATGGGCTTGGAACATGGTATAATAATAGAAGGTAACAGCAAGTGTTGTTGTACAAAAAACGATACAACAACCACATGACAATTTGTTGTTGTAAGTTCTACTAGTGTCAACTCATTTGACAGGAACATGTAAACAAACAAACAAATTATCATCAAATTATTTTTATTTTGAAAATGAAAATTTTCGAATCCTCAAAATAAAAATTGAAAAACATGAATGAAAATCTATCAAATTTATATTTCTATCGCTTCCACATCTTTCCTATAATTGAGCCATTGCCATATATATGTGTAATAGATATGAAAATGCTGGGAACAGCGAGTTGTTCCTTGAAGAAAGATTTGCTTACTCAAACTTTCCCAGCAGGCAGATTGAGTTAGTTGAATACGGGAGCACATTTAATAAAGAACAATTACAAATTGTATGCGTTTCCAATTTCCCTGTTGGGTGATTTTTAAAAACATAATTTGTCAAATTCATATTGACACTAGTATTAAGTTGGAATCAAATCTGCTGGGATTTGCTGTTACCTTTTATAATTGTACCAGGGGTTTGGAATTATTATTATTATATTAAGAATTCTTTACAATACATCGAAAGATTTCGTTTATATGTAAATATGACACTGTGAGAGTGTTTCTTTTTTTCGTACAAAAACCGCGTTGCATCTAATTAGTATCATGATTTAAAATAAACCCTGCCTCACGATGTTTTAAAATTGTGTGAGAAATTATGGTACATTCAGAGTGATTAAAAAAATAAACGGCCTTTAATCGTGTCAAATATTATATGTAAATCCGCTTTAAGTAAATGTGTTTTTAGGGTGTATTTTTCGGATTAAAATCGAAGATGTAAATATACTTTTTTTTTAAGTTTTTGGCCCGCCTCCCGATGGTCGAGTATTAACAGCGCCACCACCAATGTAAATATACTTAATGTCACCAGAACAATTTCTTTGTCGTTTGTAAACGCTTGGTAGCATCTCTTTAAATACGAACCATCCAGTAGTCGGTTACTCAAATACCCGATTCTAACATTTGGGGGTATTTCAACAATAGCCGATATTCACGGCGTCATGATAGTTCAAATAATGCAATCGAAATAACGGCGCGCATTTGTTCACTGTAAAGAAAATAAACTCGACAAAAAACAGAAATTGCTCAGGAAGTAATTTGAGATATAAGTTTTTGTTTAAATATACAAAAAGACACAAATAACAACATTCAAATAAATAATAGTTGATGAGTGCGATAAACTGAAGCTAGAATGGAATCAAAGTTACCAAAACCGTCTGCCCTAAAAAGACCAGCGCCTGTCGCAAGGACCATACTGCCAACGGATAGGATAAAAACGGCATCATTTACTGGAAGTTTTGGGAACAAACCACATTTGTTCAGCGGGAGCTCTCAGTCTCTGAACACTTTTAATCAACATCCACGCGATATTACCAACTTTCAGAATTATGAAAATACTGCACGCAGAGGTAAGGACAACGTGCTAAATGCTGCATGCCGTTTTGAATAATTGCATTATTTTATTAACGTTTAGAACGAGCAGCATCTCCCGAAGCTGCACACTCGAATTATGGAGCGTCACGGGCAAAAATGAGACGGAGCCGTTCTGCTTGCGATATCCGAGATATGCGACCCTTAAAACGGACAGAATCGACGTTGGCCCCAATTCCAGCAAAAACTTCCCGACTGTTGTCCTCCACAGCTACAATTGGGACAGTGGGGGCTAATACTAACAGACCGCCGCGCATTGGAATGTCCACTACTGCAACAAGCAGTACAACTACAAAAAAGCCGCCAACTGCCAATACATCTAAAGTTAACGGAGGAGGTCGAACAGCATTGAATAATACAAAGGGTTCAAGTAATACGAGCGCAAACACATCGGCGTCTGCGGCCAAAACTGCAAGCAAACGTATTCCTGCATATGACTTTAAGGCACGGTTTAATGACCTTTTAGAGAAACACAAAATCCTTAAAGATAAACTGGAAGAAAAGACAGAACAGCTTAACAGTCTGGAGAACTTACCAGAGGTACTAGAGGATACAGAAAAACAGTTAATAACTACAAAAGAAGAACTTAAAAATACCCAAACGATGAATGAATGCCTAAAACGCGAGACGAAGTTGCTGCAAGAAAAATACAACAACACTGTGGAAAACCTGAGTAGAACAACGGTAGAACTGAATAATCTAACAAAAGCATATACTGTAAGTAATTAAAATTAATTAAATCAGTTCTTAGTTGACGCCATATGACCAACTATTTCTTTCAATTAGGAAATAAAACAAGAACATGCTGAACTAATTTCCGAAGTAAATGAGCTGCGTGAGAGAACCTCCACTTTGGCCGACAAAAACGCCAATCTTATGGATGAAATAGCAATATGCAAAGAACAGTTATTCCGTTCAAACATGGAACGAAAAGAATTGCACAACACCGTGTTGGATTTACGTGGTAATATACGCGTATTTTGCCGTGTCCGTCCACCACTGGACTGTGAAAGGGACAAAATGCTGTGTAATTGGAGTTATTTGGACGAAGCAACTGTTGAAATTGCCAGTTTCGAACCGACATCGAAGGGAAAACCAAATGCACATACGTTTACATTTGACCAAGTATTCCATCCCTCTTCGGGCCAAGAATCGATATTTGAAATGGTCTCGCCCTTAATACAGTCCGCTCTGAATAGCAAGAACGACATCTACGTATCAAATATAACGCAGGAGACGGTGGAGAGCGCAGGACGTCTCCGCGAACTAATGCAAATCGCCAAGATGAATCGTGCAACAGCAGCGACCGTCGGCAATGAACGATCATCAAGATCACACGCGGTGACAAAAATCGAACTTATAGGTGCACATGCCGAAAAACAAGAAATTTCTATTGGTTCAATAAATCTGGTGGATTTGGCAGGCTCAGAGTCACCCAAAACAAGTACTCGTATGAACGAAACCAAGAACATAAATAGATCGCTGTCAGAGCTGACAAATGTAATATTGGCACTATTGCAGAAACAAGATCACATCCCTTACCGAAACTCGAAGTTAACTCATCTATTAATGCCTTCTTTGGGCGGTAACTCCAAGACACTAATGTTTATCAATGTTGCTCCACTGCAAGATTGTTTTGTTGAATCACTGAAATCACTGCGATTTGCTGCCACTGTCAATCAGTGTAAAATGGCCAAGGCTAAACGTAATCGTATACTTAACACATCCCTTGCAAATACCAGCGGAATCAGCAATCAATAAAATTCTTCACTTTTTCATATGAAATATATTTTTAAGCATTCGTAGTTTAGCTTTTAATATTAATGTTATTTACTAAGCCAGGAAACACTACTTCAGAGCTGGCTTACTGATTTTATGCCAAATTTAAATGAATGAATATGTAGTATATGTTGTAGTACAACTCATTTAATGTTATCGACTAATGCATGGTTTCAAATAACTACATTTGCAAACAATCCAACAAATTTTTTTATAAATATAAAATTTGCAATGTCCGGTTTCGCATTGTATTTTGTTTTTCTTATAATTTATTTTCACTTGTTAAATTGTCTATAGAATTTTTTCTTTCAGTTTATTTAATGTTCAAATATTTTTATAGCCTTTTTATAACACAATAAAACAAAAAATATTGATATATTATTTTTCGAAATTCTATATTATATGGGATTCAGTAAATTTATATATTACTATAATCGCCCATGTGACATGTCCCGAGTGTTTTTGAATTCCCATACTTTTTTAAATTCCTATGTTGTGCATAATGGTGTGCTCAATTTCGAGCGAAAGTGCGGCTCGAAAGCATAGCTGAGCAAGACCAACCGTAACTCTTGAAGAAACGTTGTGCAAAAATAA